GATTACCCAGGGCTCCTCGATGGAGATGACGGTCTGGCCAGAGGGAGAAGGCAGACCATGCCCCAAGCCCTCTCATTCCTGTTGGAGTAACTGGTAGCATGGGTCTGAGCTCTGGGGCCTCCACCTCAGAGGGCAGACCGATCTCCAGTGGTCTCCTTTGCATCCAGGGCATGGCCCATGGTGTATGATCATTTCTTAATCCTTGTCCTCTGATTTTTCCTTTTAATCTTCCTCCTATCAAAACACTGAAGGATTCTGGGGCAAAACAGAGTCCCTTCATAGCCTTCCTTCATTTTCCCGTTACAGAGTATCAGTCTTAAGTCATCATCATCGTCATGTTTAAAATGTAATTCTAGTGACAGCAAATGCTTCATATTTTTTATGTAATTAACACAAAATTGATACTTATATAAAAGTCTTTCAAGGAGTTTCTTATTATTAAAATTCAAATCTAAAAAGCAGAATACAAAACTAGAAGAAGAAAAACAGGAAGGAAATACACCCAAAATACACAAATACGCCAAAAAATTTTGTTTTGGAAATGACTAGTTTGTGAACTTCTACACAGAATATAATAGTTTTTCTTCCATGTTACTATCATCTAGACCATTTGTTACAACCTATTTTCAAAACTGATTAATCAACAGAATCTTTTAACTTCTCAAATTTACAAATTTTCCCACTAACTCTTGAAAGAAATATCAAATTCTTGAGTGGATAATCAGCAGGCTATTATACATAATATTTTATTGTGTTGTTTCAGTTTTTGTTTTGCTAACAGTGAAACAACATAGGTATTAGTTTTTACTAATTCTTTAAAGGAATTCTTTAAAGAATCAGTATACACAGAACTTTTTTTAAACTAGAGGTTTTAAAAATGATTTTTCACTGCACAAATAATTAGAATTAAATAATTTTCACAGCTTTAGAAGTCTGTTTGAAAGAGAAATAGCAAAATGTAATCAACATTTATGAAATATTTCTACTTTTAAATTTGTATTGAGGCTGATTATTTTTCTTTGAGTAGGGGCTGGTGTCAGTCACAGACAAACCACAACAAGTGATTGTCCAAGGTGTCCACGAACTCTATGACCTGGAAGAGACTCCAGTGAGCTGGAAAGATGACACTGAGAGAACAAATCGATTGGTCCTTATTGGTAGGTAACAAAGGATAAAATTTCTCAAGCAAAAAAAGATTCAAAAGGGATATAATGTGCGGCTTAAGCAGTGTTAATCAGATCCTTTTTGTAACTAAGCTTCTGGTTAATGTATTTGTCTTAATCGTGTGATAACATTCATGTGAACTTGTTTTACTCTTCACACAATTCTAGAAGAGTGATTATACTGAGCTCCAACTTGGTTTTGAAACTTACCTAGAAAGTTAGGCAATCACTCAATTACTGTTGTTTTTGTAAATTTCTGAAGATCAACAAGCATTTAAAAATCTGGAATTGATAAGTGAATTGTGTCATTATAATAAGTGTAATATAATCACTATGTTTTGTTTTGCTTGCAGGCAGGAATTTAGATAAAGAAGTCCTTAAACGACTGTTTATAGCTACGGTAACAGAAACAGAAAAGCAGCGGACAGCACATTTCAAAGAAGATCAAATTTGTCTATAACAGGGGAAGCATTTATCAAAAGGATTGGATAATAGACATAAGTTTCCTACTGGGGATATTTCAACCATTATTCTTTGATTTCTTTTATGAATTGCAGTGTACTTTAAAATAATCTATACAATATATAAAACAGTAAATCAGTATTATAAAGCTTTGACATTCATAAAATAAAATATAACATCATCTGAAGTTTTTTATTTTTGGGGAGACAAGGGGTTCATAAAACTTTCAGAATTTGTATTGGAGTTTATACATGAGCTTTTCACCTATTATTTATAATAATGATGTTAAACTTCAACATTTTCATTTTCCTTTAGAACTTCAGCTGATTCTAGATAGATCTTATTAACAAAAAAGTTTTTAAAGCAAATAACTATCACTTTCATTAAATAAGTCTCTTTTGTTCCTAGAGACTTAGAAAGTGGTAGAAATTTGCTTCAAAAAAATAAAATGATCTCTTTTTTGATAGACAATACCAAGCATTACTGTTAGTATGATGAAGCTTCAGCCATTTATTAATACAGTTAGATTCTTATTTTAGAACTTTTAAAATCATTTTTACTGATGTTAAATTCATCTTGGTCAGAGACTGGGGATTTAGCTCAGCAGCACAGCGCCTGCCTGGTAAGTGCAAGGTCGTGAGTTCAATTCCTGGTACTGGAAAAAAAAAAAAAAAAAATTCATCTTGGTCATGTGAACTTCTTTAGTTTCTAGTATAAGGTAAAACACTGATGAAGCATAAGCCATCATTTGTAACTATAACTTTTGATAAAATGATCTTCACATAAATCGTTGGTAAGTACTCAGTGAATCCATTTTCTCCTATTTCTAAAGGCTATATTAGCATAATTATACGGTGCTCAAATTGTTAGAGAAAAGTACAGATGGAATTTATGAAGAGCTTTCCCAGACTAATCATTGTTAAATACTGTAGAAGGCTATCAAGACCGGGCAGGTATGAACACCTGCAATCCCACCTACTCAGGAGGCTGAGGCAGGAGGATTACAAGTGTGAGGCCAACCTAGGTAACTTAGCAAGATCCTGTCTCAAAGTAAAAGTGGTGGTAGTGAGGGCTATCAAAATGGCTTTTGGAATTTTTTCCCCAGAACTTTAAGTAATGGAGTTTTATCTGTTTTGTGTGGTTGTACTGGTTGGAAGTAGAAGGCTGATTGATTGGTTATTGCAGTTGTGTTTGAGTCATTCTGATCTCCCGTCCTCTCTATGCTTTTAAAATACAGCTTCTCTGTACTCACCTAATTGCCTCCTGAACCCATTGCCTTGGCTCATGATTGAGAAAATATGCTTATTTTGTGGCAAGGAGTTACTCAGTAGAAAATCCACAGATTTTTCAAAACAGATTTGTGCTTTAATTCTAACATGATTGCTTTTTTAGCTGTGCAGGGTCTGGCAAAGTTTTTAATCTGAGATTGATTTCCTTACTTATAAAGTAGATAATAAAACATCAGCCACTCAGGAGTAGAATAAGTTTATAATGTACTCAACACAGCTTCTGGCATGTAGCGTTTACATATTTTTTCCTAATAATTTAGATTTATTTTATAATTAATGTGATCACAATAACTATAACATCCTTTGACAAATATTGTCTAGTTCTGTCTCTTCTATATCATGAAAAGGGGCTTATAATTAGTTTCCCTGTTGTGGGAGAAATGTTGAAAATAATAATAATCTGTACTCTTGAAAATACATATTTATAAGACTCATGAATATTTTTTCCTTAAAATGTATCAAATTAATCTTCGTTTTTCATTTCAAATATATTGCATCAATGTATTTTTGTCTCAAAAATGCAAATATCACAGATGAAGTTGATCTTCCCTGATCCCACTCCTTCATCCATTACTTAGAACTAAGTCAGTTTTCTATCCCTTTAGACATTTCTTTTCACTTATATGTACATTATGTTTCACAAAGTGAGTTATTTTACAAGGATCATAGCCATACTCTAAGCTGCTTTTTCAGGAAATATAGATACTTGTCATAGCTATCCTTATGGTTTTACTTCTATAATGTGTGTGTATTTTTAATGAGTTATCATTATGTAATAGTTTGCTTTTGAAAAAAGCTGTAAGTCTTAGATATTTCCATGACTGCATATAAATCTATCCTAACTACTGCATAGAACTTCAGAGTATAGTGTAGTACAGAAGGCAGTCATTTTTTAAAGAGTTTATAGGGAACTGGGAGTTCACCTAAGTAGTAATGCTGGGGTAGAAATAGCACATACAGATAAAAGACAGGTAATGACATTGCTTGCAGTCTGGTGAAGGGACATTCGTGGGAAGATACCAACTAGCCCTAAGCAGATTGATAAAGATGACGTAGGGATGACGTAGGCTGAATGCTCATGGAAGGCACCTGAGGAAAGGTTACATTTGAAAACTGAATCAAAAGGAGCCATTCATCCTGCAATGGGGAGGCTGAGGCAGAAGGATGGAGTGTTTGAGGCCTGCCTGAGCTACCTAGTGAGACCCTGTTTCAATGACACCCTGCCCCTAGTCATTCATACAGAGCAGGAAAGAAGGCTCTACATTGAGGAATGATGTCCTTTAGAGGTCCCTTAAGTGGGAACCAGCATAGCCTGTTGAGAGATGGGGATGAAGACAAGGGTGACAGATGGTTAGAAAATGAGAGCATGAGGTGAAATTGGAATTGGAAATTGAGAGCAATTTTGTTGTTTTTTAGGACAGGGTAAACATTTGGATAATTCTCTATACAGTGAGGAGTGACGGAAGCTTGGCAGTGATTTGGGTGTGAGTGCTGTGGCACATAAGCCTGTTTCTGTTAGTGGAATTGTGAAAAGCGCTACAACTGTCAAGCCTCTAGGAATGAATGTTTCTCCAGAATTGATCTGAGTGAAATCACTAGCTTCTAGGACACGCACAAAATTTTTACTAGATACTAATTACCGTTTGCCTTCATTTTAGCAGTTATGAAAGTATCCATTTCCAAAACCCAACACATTTTAAACTTTCGTCAGTCTGACTGATATCTCACTGTCTTACTTTTTATTATATACTGTATTTTACATTGTTTTTATTCCTTGAAGGATGCATTGTGCTCATATTTTTACCAAAATAAAATATATCCAATAATTAGAGCCAAGCCAGGCATGGTGGCACACGCCTTTAGTCCCAGCACTTGGGAGGCCGAGATAGAAAGATTGCTGTGAGTTTGAGAGAGCCTGGGCTACATAGTGAATTCAGGGCCAGTCTGAATTACAGAGCAAGATCCAAGCTCCCCTTCCCCCACAAAAAAATTAGAGCTAGAGTTTTATTTGTATCTTGAGGAGAATTTCACATCTGCTATAGATGTCCTGGAGAGGTTTTATTTTTGCAGTGCAGTACAAATATGATGATGATATGAGCCATTCTGTTTGTTACAGAAGACTTAACGGTATTGTGATCATGACAAGGTTTAGTCATGGATCATCTAAAACTGTATAGTTTACTGTGGGGAACAGGATTAATTACTCTTTCTGAGCCTCTGCCTCCTCATTCATAAAGTGGACATGACAATGTAACACTCTCTAGATTGTTGCAGGGGTTACATTTCAAGCACCTCAAGTATAGAGTCTCCACAAATGTTAATTTCCCTTTTCTAGCAAAGCTTAGTACACACGCAAAGCTTCTACACATCTTAAATCGTTCTTTTGGAGGCTTCTTTCAGCTATAAGCGAAAGGGGCAAGAACATTGTACGGAGTTTAAGACAGCTCTAAGAAGTGTGTGCAGTAGGTATGAAGAAAAGCAGGTGACTGACAGGATCACCTTGGGGAAATCTTAACAGCTTCTGCCTTTCAGTTTTCAGTGGCTCCCAATAATGTTTGAGCTAAAGAGACCCTCCATGTAGCAAGCACTTACTTGTCTTAGACTCCTGAGTTATAAATTGCAGACCCAGGGGCTTTTAATTGTCTTCTCTGCTTGCTACCTGAAACATTTTGTCTGTGTTTTTTATTTGCTTCTGTTAGATATGTACAATTTTGATTTTTGAAAATGTCTTCTTGAAGCTGGAGGTGTAGCTTAGCAGGAGAGGGCTTGACTAGCATGAGTCAGGTCTTAGTTTCAGTCTTCAGTACTCATGGGAAAAAGTCTTGGTCCTGGAGGGGTAGCCCTGAGTTCAGTTCCCAGGCACAAATAAATAAATTAAAATTTAATTGTGGGTAGAAGTGGAGGATAAACAAAAATATCTTTTCTCCTAGAGGCTTTAATCCCTAGATAGTGAATTTTGAAGGTGATTATCAACAAAATCTACAAGGCTTGCAAAGCAATGAGGATCAATGCTTTGAAACATTGTGAGCCTGTTTGCTTTTACAAATTGAATACTTGTTTCCTTTGGATTCCTGGTGTAGGTGGGAAAACCATCCTTAGATTGCTTTGAAATGATTCCCTCTTAACAGAAATGCCCTATACTGGTGGGACTGATATGGAAAAAAGTGAACTCTACCTTTGAATATCGGGCATTTCACCCTATTTGAATGAGAAAGACACTCAAGTACTTTTCTCAGAATGAGTCTTTTTTTTTTTTTTTTTTTTTTTTGAGACAGGGTTTCACTGGCCTTAAACTTACTAGGTAGCCCAGGTTGGCTTTCAATTTGCAGCAGTCTTCCTGCCACAGCCTCTGGAGTGCTACCATGCCTAGCTATAATGAGTTTGAATATTAGAAGCAATCTTACATTTTATTCTGTTGATGATCAAATTATCTTTAGTTTTTAGAGTCCATTATCCTTGGAAGTTTAAGAAGGTTTGATTTTTAAACGAGCATATTTGTTCTAAAAAAATAAAACTATTCAATCTTAGGAAAAAAGTAATCAAATACTATCAGGTGCCCAGTGTGTACTAACATGAGACATTTTTTAAAAATTTCAGATCCATGTACTAACGAGACATTCTTTAAAAATTTCAGATCCTACCAGACTCTTCACTTAACATGTCTTCAAGGTTCATCCATATCATAGTATGTATCAGTACTCCATGTTTATTGCTGAATAGTATTCTGCATGGATATACCAAATTTTGATTTTACATTCATCAGCAGTCTTGAATTTCCACTTCTTGGCTCTTAGATTCATTTCCCTTTATGTTTTAATTTTGAAAAAAAAGTTTTAGATTTATAGAAAAGTTGAGCAGGTAGGTTTCTTCATCCTTCTTTCCCCCCTCTATTAACGTCTCACAGTGATGTGGGATATTGCAGTTAGTGAACAAGTACTGATACACATTCTAAGTCCAGTGTGTTTCCTATGCTTAGATTTTACCTGCTATCCTGAGAATCCTATCTAAGAGAGCAGTGTACATTTAGTATTCATGTCTCCTTAGACTCCTCTTGACTCTGACATGTTTTTTGTTTTGATGATCATTGATGATAGTTTGGAGGAATGACAGGTACCCAAGATGCTGTACTTTTGGAATTGTTCCTTATTTTTCTGTTGATTAGTCTGAGACTTGGAGAGGAAGACCAGAGTACCGTTTTCATCAAATCATAACAAGGATGCCTACTGACATCATGATTTCTGACTACTGATGTTGGCCTCGATTACCTGGCTGAAATTGGCAGGTTTCTCTACTGGAAAGAATCACCCCTTCCCTCCATACTGTATTCCTTAGAAGGAAGAACATTGAGCAGCCCCCACTGAATAGCTGGTCCTTGAGGGCGCAGGTTACATAATTTATTTGGGATTCTGCAAGAGACCCCCCCCCATTAATTTACTCATCTGTTTTCATCAATGCAGACACATTTATGTTGTATTTTGGATATTAATCCGACACTGTTTTGTTCAAAGTGTCCCAGGTATGACCGCAGGGAACTCCTTTTTTCCTGCAACCCCTTTGGCACACACCCATCAGTGGGTTTTTGTTTTGTTTTGGGTCAGATCTTTACATCCTTTCACTTGTAAATAACCCAAATCACCATCGAAGTTGATGTTAGGAATACTAACAATACTCCCTTTCCCAGGTAATGGGATTCCTTTGCTGATGAAGGTACGGTGCCTCTCCGGCAGGGGGTTAAGGGGAGGCATCAGGGAGTATCGGGTTAAATAAGACACTTGTCCCAGCCCTCCTGGAGTTTAGTTTATAAGAGCACACAAATAGTTTGGTAAATTTGGGATTCAAACACGAATCTGTTAAGACGTAAACTTTGTGTTTCTTTCTCTTACTTCAAACAGCATGTAACAAGAGAGCCTTAGAGGAAGGATAAAGATCAACAAAAAAGTCTTCCAAGGGAATGTCCTCAAGGGAAGTTGTACTCTAAATTTTACCCTGGAGCCACTAGCTACTTTAAACCATTTTTAATCCTGAAGACATGAAGCTATTTCTTGATAGATTTTGCCCTTATGGATGGCTTCTGATGTCTTGCTGAAAATTCATTGTCATTTGAAACATTAATGGAAGACTGACTAGGTGACAAGCAATGGCTTAACAATGCCATTCTTTTATGCTACATTTTAATTAGATACTACCTCAATTTTTTTTTCCAGGTAGGTGGGTTTTAAATTATGAATATGTACCATAGCCTAGTATTTTACCATAAGATCCCCATTTATGTAACATTGTGTTCTACTTTAGTGCTGCCACTAAAGACTGAAGTAATTCATACTAAGCCAACAAGGAAATCCTGTTATTGCAGGGAATTTAGGTGAGTGAACAGAGCTGCTGTCATCCTTCAGTGAAGTGTAGACACAATGCCAAGCCACTGATACATCTAATGACAGTGACACTACAACCCAGGCTTCCTTCACTGAAGTTTCAGGTTATATTTTTTATCACACTGAAAGTATCTAAAGTTTCTGAAATGATAGACTGAAGAGAGAGATAAAAGTGCTCAAATATACACTAGGCACGATCTATGGTGGTGTGGGGCCAGTTTGTGAAAACAGGATTTCTGCGATGAAACCGACTTAGTTGGTCATGACTATTAAGAGGAAGAAGAAAATACCAGTCATCACTGGTAATTATATAGCTTTGTGGAACCCATTCTAAGCACATATGCCTGCCTGTGTGCCCATAGCGTGGTATAAATGTATTCCTTACCGTGGCAGGTTGTTCAGAGAAGTTGGGGAATCACTCCTGTTAAGGGGATGGGGAAACAGCCCTCCTGCCTTCACTTCACCCTGAACTTCCACAACTTAGTGTTAGGACATTTTAGGCTTTTCTGAAGATCCCAGTCAGGGAGAACACCTAGGGGCATTTGTGTGGAGGGCAAGAAGGACAATGAGACGCTCGTCTGGGGCTGTGGCATATAGTTAGAACATTAAAATAGCACATTCCATCATTCTGTATGAGTACAAAATCCATCAACGAAAATGGGCGATTAACCAACGTATGAAACGCGAAAAGGCGCTTTTACTCTTACACGTTCTTTTTCAAACGCCGAATATTTTTCAGTGACCCCATTCCCTGCCGTGGAGTTCGGTCCTCAGGCGAGAATCCTAAAAGCCGAGGTAGCCATAGTTGGGAATCATATTTTCCTTTCTTACTCTATTTGCTCAGTTTTAAAAGTGCAGTAAGAGCCTAGGCAAAGCTAGGACCAGTAGGCTGGTCAAACCCTCAGAGCAAGCACCATCCCGGTGGCGGTGAGTGAGGAGGTGGGGGTGCTTGCAGCGGACCCTCACCATTGGACTGCGTCAGGAGGAGGTGACCCCGCTCTGAGGTAGGGTTGGAAGGGTATAAAGCAGGGGAGCGCGGCATTCAGTGTCGCCAAGCGGCTTTAATAAAAGGCAAAGCGTATCCTTACCGGGCGGTTTGGAAAGGAGGAACAGAAAACAAAACCTAGCAGGTGACACTAGCGCTTCGGACGCCCAGAGTGCGCCGCAGGTGAGAGCGGCGCCGCCTGCCCCGCGTCGGGCACCTGCTCGTCCATGAGCTTGCCAAGATCTGAGCGCCTGCGCTCCGCGCCGCAGCCCGGCCTCCGAAGCTCCGACGGAGAAGTCGGCGAGATCGACGTCCTGGGAGAGGAGGATGAAGACGAGCAGCGGGACGAGGAAGACGAGCAGTCGGAAAGGGGCCAGAAGTGCCTAGCGCGGCCGTGCCGGCCAGGGTCGCGCACCCAGGGCAACGGTCCGAGCCACTCCTCGGAGCTGGGCCGCGAGTTCAAGGCACCCACCAGATGTGCGGCGAGCTCTGGAGACGCCCCGCCGCCGGCGAAGCCCCCCTACTCGTACATCGCGCTCATCACCATGGCCATCCTGCAGAGCCCGCACAAGCGCCTCACGCTCAGCGGCATCTGCGCCTTCATCAGCGGCCGCTTCCCCTACTACCGCCGCAAGTTCCCCGCCTGGCAGAACAGCATCCGCCACAACCTCTCGCTCAACGACTGCTTCGTCAAGATCCCCCGCGAGCCCGGCCACCCGGGCAAGGGCAACTACTGGAGCCTGGACCCCGCCTCCCAGGACATGTTCGACAACGGCAGCTTCCTCCGGCGCAGGAAGCGCTTCAAGCGCCACCACCCGCCCCCGGGAGGCCACCTGCACCACCCCTTGCCTCTGCCCGCGGCTCCCGCCACCCTGCTCGGCCCCCACCCGGGCCTCGAGCTGGGGACCGCGGCCCCGCCTCAGCCTGTCCCCGGGATCCGCCCGTGCGCGCTGCTGCACCCGCATCCCCTCCGCTACCTGCTGCTCTCCGCTCCCACCTACGCCGAGGCGCCCTGCAAAGCAGAAGGCGCGGACTTGGGGACCCCCGGACCCTTCCCGCTACCGCCCTCGCTGGGCTCCTCGCCTTGGGAGGAGGGCGAGGGCGAAGGCTCGGTGCCGCGGAGCGGAGGAGGGTGCACCTCCTTCAGCATCGAGAGTATCATGCGAGGCGTCGGCACCGGAGCCACGCAGGGTCTGCCTCCGGTGCCGTGGGGCTACTACCACCTGCTCCAGCGCCCATCCCGCCTGCTGCATCCGCAGGCCGCTGCCCCCTTGCTGCACGTGTCCGCTGCTGCCGCCGCCCGGACGATTTTGCAGCAGCAGCAGCAGCAGCAGCAGCAGCAGCACCAGCGCCAACAGCGCCAGCAGCACCAGCACCAGTACTGTGCCAGTGGCTGTGCTCCCAGCAAAGGCGCGCTGCTGGGTCGCCACTTGTCCGCCGTCGCGGCCCTGCTGAGGTACCCGCCGGCTCCTGACGGCTCCAGGCTGACAGCGTTGGCCGCCCCTTCGGGCCGAGAGGGGTCCTCGCCAGCCTTTTGAGTCACACTCACACCTGTCCTGCAGGCCGACTCCGCCCGGGGCACCTGGAGCCAGGGAGAAGGGGCTCCCCGCCCTGCAGTCCCCACGGTCCAGCTCTTCCGCGCCCGCACCTTAAGCCTGAGCATCTAAATGTGGCCAGCGGAGCAGCCACGGATTTCTGTTTGAATCAAAATAGTTACAAAGGAACAGTTGTATTCTATTCTCTTAAAGAAACGTGAACGTAGTAAAGGCCTGGGCCATCACCTTCCCTTTTCCTGCTTCAGCCATGGCTTCTGCAGCTTTTCCGATATGCACATTTCCCAAGGAGCTATGAATCAGAGCGGGGCATTCTGGTGTGGTATTCGAAGAAAAACAAGGCAAACACAGTCTCCAATACGAAGCATGTTTCTCTTCCCTCCCTAGGAACTGCAAGTATTCCGAGGTCCAGCACAAAGTGTTTATGATTTCAGTGTCTTCCTGAACTAGATGTGTAATATAAGTAGTGTTAACTTCGGAAAATTCATTTCTTACCTGTGTGTCTAACGTGCCATATTCCATGAGGAGATGCTAAATGACTAGGTAGAGGAAATAAAATGCGAATACACTATGTCGTTTGTTTTTTTATCATTCGTACCTTACTTTTTCAACGGAATGTCTCTTAAAGCTGGCTTTCTTTCCTCGAAATTCAACAATGGCTTTTTGGTTCATATGTCATTATAGGTATCAGAACAACCTGTTTTCAATAGGGCTTTTAAAATTTCCTAATATTCGAGGTTGAAGATGTTGACTTTTAAAATAAGAAATTTCGGGCCCGAGGGCGTAGCTCAGTGGTAGACCAGATGCCTGGCGCCGGTTCCTCCCCGCAGCACCGCAGAGAGGACGAGAGCCGGACAGAGACGCTGTTTAGAAAAATCTCTACGGGAAAAAGAATCCCGAGAAACGCAAATCTATTCCTCATTTATTTTCCATGTTTAAAGACTTTTTTTGAATAAGCTAGTGATCATCTGAGATCAGTTTGGGAGGTAGCAGACATTTTTCTCAGGGTATTCAGGGAAAATAAAAGTGTGTGTGTGCGTGTGTGTGTGTGTGTGTGTGTGTGTGTGTGTGTGTGTGTGTGTGTACGCAACAGCATTGTCAAAGGCCTCCCCCCATTCATTTCTAAAAGGATTTGTAAGCATTACTTGGCTTCAAGTGACTGAGTGGAAGGGAAGCAAGGTCAGTACGCCCAACACGAAAACACTGCCGGAAAAGAAAGCAGATTCTTAGAGACGTGGTCCTTGTGAACCGTCCTGAGCTGCAGGTGCTCTAAACGCAGTTGTTGCCGGGTGGTCTCCGTCCTCAGCTGTGCATTTCTAGCTTCCGGAGGGAGGGAAACGCGGAGACTCCTTTTATCTACGCTTAAGTGGTCGCGTTTTTACCGCAGCGTTGGACCTCCGCTCCGCCACCCGAAACTCCTTGGCCACGCCCACTCCGCGGTCCCCGCAGGCTCCCAGCGCTTTGTGGGAGTTTTGGAAAGTCTCCCGGTCCCGCCTCAGGGTAGCTACATGCTGTGGGCTTACGAGGCGCTTCGGTCTGCCCAGCACCAAGGGTGTCCTAAGTAGAGCCCCACGCCCCCCATTTTTTAGCAAATCAGGCAGGTCTAGGGGTAGTCTGGGAGTGTGAAAACAAATCAAGAACAGAAGGGTCCTGTTTCATTCCAAGTTCTCCACCTGTTGGTGGTTCTAATTCCTTTTGAGCAGAAGTTCCCCAGGCCTACGTTCGTTATGTATTCAGTTAACAAACGTCCTCCTAGAGCCCGCTTGGGCCAGCAGCGGAACTCAGTACAAAACCCTTCGGGGCTCACTCTGCGTCCTTGGAATTTCTTCCTGCTCTTACGGAGGCCAGACCGGCGCAGCCACGAACTAGGGTGACTGAGAATCAGAGCCCGAACTCCGTCTAACCCCAGGCTCCTAATTTTCCCCTAACGAAACCGTACCGAACGATGATTTCCGAGCAAACTATGGATTCGGTGGCAGAGCAGAGTAAGCGCTGTTCTCTGTTCCGCTCTGCCCGAAGCGCGGCGAGGGCGCGGAGAGGTGGGGCTGTGGTGGGGCCCAGGCCCGGCGCCCCCGCACCCCGCGGGGCTCGAGGTCTGTTCCATCGGTGGGGTGTCAGGAGTTTGGGCGCCTCTCGGGGCCTGGGCTTTGTCAGTCCCGCCGCTGGGGTCGAAAACCACGTCCTGTCCGAGTTTGGAGAAGGGTCGAAGGTCCTCGTGGAGGACAGGCTGGCTGGGTGCGCTCAGAGTTGGGTGCTCAGGGCTGGGTGCGCCCGCGGAGTTCAGCCCAAGAGCCGAGAGGAGAGCGAGGGACTGCGTGGAGCAGAGGCTGGGGCAGGGGAGTGGGGCGACCCCGGGAAAGGGACCCCACGCTCGGTGATTAATGACGCTAATAACGATGATCATGACGATGATGATAGCTGCTGCTTGGGTTTTTTGGAGACAGGGTTTCTCTTTGTGGCGCAGGCTGCTTTGAACTCGCGACGATCCTCCTGCCTCAGCTCCGTTGTGCACAGAAGAAATTTGCCCTGCAGAGTTTACTTCTTGCGACTCCCTAGGAAAACGCCCCCGAGGAGCCGTGGGAAGGTCAAGGTCCTGCGCACCCACCCAGCCACTCCCCCGCCGTCCGGAGTAGAGCGATCGGCCGAGGACAGCCAGGGACAAACCCGAGGAGGGTCCTGTGCGTTCCTCCCTCGCGCGCAAGTTTTGTTGTTTCTCCGCGTGCCTCCGTCGCCCCTCCACGTGGCGCGGGCGATACCCACGCGGCAGGCCCAGAGCCACCGCAGCCTCCCCGCAGCCCTCGGCCGCCCAAGGTGCGGGGCGCTCCTCCAGCGCTGCCCGGGGCCGCCAGGTCCTCTCCCTAATCCAGCCTGCCTTCCGCTCCGCGCTGCGCCCAGGCACGGAGCTGGGGCTCTGGAGTCTCACCGCTGCAGGGAGGGCAGCCCCGCGCTCTCTGGGTCCTAGTCCACGAGAGTGGGTGCAGAGAAGAAAAGGGGGTGACTGGGATGGGATCGCCGTTGGCTGGCAGGAGGCCAAGAGCGCAGGGACGGTGGGGGACGGCACCCGGCACAGCCGTCACCCGGCGCCGTGGTGACTCTGTGTGTCCTAGTCTCTATGCGGCACCCGAAATGAACAGTACCTGCTTGCACACTGGAACGTAGCTAACGATTTGGGAATCTCTTCATCTCTACAGAAGGTAGACAATCTAGGGGAGCTCTAGAACTAGGATAAAAATAAATGGAATCAAATGGGAGTAAAAGCAAAACTGTCAGCGAGATGGGGCAATCGGTGTCTTCCAAAATGTCGCACCCGTCCTGTATCACATTTTGCTGGAAGTATGGGAGACTTATACTTAGTTCGTATGAGTTACGCATAGTTCGTATCCATCCCGTACCCCACATTTGGGGACGGTGTTCAGAAATTTCTTTCCATAGTAAATCTGATTATAATCTAAATAGTAATCTTTCTCTAGTTGCTAAAGTCACCATCCTATAATTTCTAAAAAGAGTTCAGTCTTCAAGGCTGTATATTCCTATCTACACTGAAATTAATTAAATGGGTTGCAAAAATTCATTGACTCTACATACACTACTAGCTGCAAAGAACTTATATAGGTGATAGCCAATAATACTAAAATTTTCTCCCCGAAAGAAAGAGATCAGAAAAGAAAAGGGATTTGAGAATACATTGTAAAATTCAGTCCAGTCTCAGTTCCCTATTGCTGATCTACCTTGACATAGTAAAGGTTTACCTGGATATAAACTTCATTGTCTTATTTGTTCTTAAAATACAGGTATATGTTTATTGAAATCAGCAATTCAGTATATTTTGGGACAGTTAATGATTTAGTGAAGCAGTCTATTCCTAAACCAAGGCTAAAGAAACAAAGAGATTAAATGAAGCAAAGAGATTTTCTTTTCTCCACGTACTATGCTTTTGTTATGCATAACTATGACTTTATTTAAAGCTACATTATGATTCATAGTTTCTCAGTTAAGGTGACCTTTTTTAAGGTGACTATTATTGTGTTATTCAGAGTATCTGTTGTATAAGAATAAATGGTGCTATATTTCAAATAGTTTACTTTTCTTTCACTTTTAAAATTCATTTTTTTAAAAAATAAAAACTTCAAACACATGCCAAAGTAGAGAGATTTGTATAATTAAACTCTGTTATAATTATATCATATAGTACGATATATTAAAATTAGCCCCTTGGCTGTGCCAACCTTGTTTTATCTTTACCATTGCATCATCCTCTCCCCACTAGATTATTTTAAATCAAATCCAAGATATTCTATCACACAGTCCGTAAATATTTTTGAAAATCTCTGTAACAGGTGAGAACTCCATCAATTTAGCCACATTTCCAGTATCATTCCTAAATAATTCACTGATAGTATCAATTTATCCTGGTAATAGTTAAATATTCCCAGCTGTCTCCAAGCTGTTTTAGTTTAAAGCTGGTTAGTTTAAACTAGCATGCCCTCAAGGATCACACATCACATTTGGTTAAGACGGTCTCATGTCCCTTTTAGGTTTTCCCAATCCTCTTTTTCTTTTTCCCTGCATTTTGTCGAAAAAACTACATGGCTTGTCCTGAAGAATCTGGCATTCTATATTTTCTGACCACCGGTAGGATTTCCTGGCAAGATATACCCAGAGATTCGGCTTCTTATTTAGATTATTACATTATTTGTAGTGGGGCAAGCATAGGTCTAAGAAAGCCTGTATGAAATTTACCTAAATGTAAATGTAATATTTTCTTATAACTTTCAAAAATAGATTGTCATTTTTAGTGTATTCATGGACATATAAATATTTGCTAATCAAATATTTCATCCAAAAATTTAAGTTAGTTTTATTTTGATGAGGATGAAGCTCTTTATAGCTTTAAAATTTTAATTTTAAAGAATCAGGGGTACTTTATGTTTTACATTTTATATTATTTTGTGTTTTAGAATGTAAAACTAAAATATCATACTTTTCAGTGAGGGTTGGGGTGGGGTAATAGTTCAAATTTTGTGCTTATGAAAAATTATTTTAGAATAATTCTAAATTAATGAGAATAGATATGAAAGAAATCAGTCTAAACAAAAAATTCACTTGACTATAAGAAATAAGTTTAATAAAAATGAAGGTAGCTAGCTTTTTTGGCTACTATTATTTTAATAAGTATAAATACTAAATACAGTTTCCATTCTTCTGTTGTACATGGGGCTTCTGTCTCATTATGCAGTTGTTTGCCCAGGTTTCTATGGTCACCATATCTGGAATCTCTGGGAAGGTAGAAGCCAGATTGTATTAATTTTTATATTTCAAACAATTTCTATTACATTGTTAAAAATACACAAATTAATAGAATATATGTGCTGCC